TAGACAATTTGTGTATATCTCTATATGCATGTATGCAGGTAAGTGTAAATATATGGCATTTATTAATTAGATTTATATTTTATCTTTTGTTTTGTAGTGGCATACGCGTAGAATATTCCCTCTTATTTTTTCCCCCCAAAACAAGAAGCCCGAGGGGTAGGTTGTGCTTACAGTATATATATATACATATTTTTATTTTATTTTATTTTTAGTTATTTATTATTATATTTATATGCCACCCATCTCTCCCAGAGGGTGACTCTGGGCGGCTTACTATATACATATGTATTTGTGTGTGTAATACACACATACACTTAAGCACATACTTTAAGAGGCAGGATAGGCACAAGTAATAAAGAATAGCATTTCAGCAGTTTAGTTCTATGTTTACAAAGTATTTGGAGGTTTTATCCCCCTGCCCCTTGATTAGCCTCATTAATGTCAAACTTTGGGAGAATGGAGGTGAGATTTCATAGAAAGGAGGGGATGGGTTAAGAATGGATGGGGAGGTTAAAACTCTGATTTTGTTTGTATAATAGGCTTGGCAAGTGTAGTAAAATATAGAAGACTTGACATTTTAAGGAAATCAATTTAAATGTGATCACTGTTGGAGGAAATTGATAAACCAAATGGGAAGGGTTTTTTTGTTGAAACACCATCAATTTGGACAATTTATGGGAAGTGGCTCTTCTAAGTTAGAGAGTTAGCTATTATTTTTTATAGCTGTACAGCCTGGAAAAGTAAGGAGATTCTGGGTGATAAAAAAGGTAGATGTATCTTTATGAAAGGATTTTTTTTCATGGGGCTTTCACTTTTCAGCCTCAGTTAAAGCACCACATAATTTTCAGTTTTACAACCCTTTTTTGTAAAGCTTATATATCTTGCAGAAAATGAAATTATTGGGGGGGAAGGGTGATCTGAACTAGAATTCTAGCCCAATGAAAAGTACACAAGAAACATATATTCAATAAGCTAAATAGCAAACTTAAGGAGCTTTTCTTTAAGCTGAAATTAATGACAGGGTGGGATGAAAATTGGTAATGATCATAGTTGTGCATATGATTTACAAGCCCATAAAATGTATAGACAGATTTGTTTCATCTGATTTATGGCATAAACCATCCTTGGCAGATGTAGGCATGATAATAATTACAGATCACATTCCACCCTATGCAATGTAAATGAGACCCCATACACCCCTCAAATTAAATTGCTTTACTGGCAAATATATCCAGCTCCTAATCAGGAAGAAAGGAAGAGAAAGGAAGGAAGGAAGGAAGGAAGGAAGGAAGGAAGAAAGAAAGAAAGAAAGAAAGAAAGAAAGAAAGAA